GGGTTTCAACAGGTAATTTGTCTGCATAAGGTATAGTATATTTATAATAATCACATCATCAGAACGTACTTATTGCTACTCCACAGAGACACATAGAATGAAAACTTTTTTATTGCCCTCATGGTTAAATGCCTGATAGTCTTAAAACTACACAAAAATAAGGATGTCTCAAATAAATTGAAACACTTTTAACGTTTCTATCTAAAAATACAGAATTAATTTATTATAGTATGGAACTTATACCCACTAAGTAACTTTTCTTTATTCTTGTTATCGTGATATTAAGGGGAAAACTAATCTTAGGCTTTAGAATGTACATCTTTAACAAAAAGAAAACAATGAAAGAAATTTAGCATCTCAAATGACGGTCTTTGCTTATAATCTATGAACAACTTATATTTGGAAGAAAATCGAAGTAGCAGTCCATTTTCGAATACTGTTGTAAGTTATCTTAGAACCAGATATTTCAGTACATTTCTAGTTATTATGTTGGGTTAAAGCTTATCAGAAAGAGACAACTAGTCACAACGTTCGAGTATGTATTACTACTCTAATAAAGTTCTGGATATTATAATGTTCAGTATAGCATTTAACTTACAGATGTCAGGGTTTTAGAACAGACAAATCCGGAACAGCTGTGTTGGATAAGTTTTTATTGTATAAGTTACATTCAGCACAAGTTATGTAATTATATTTTTACACATCAAGTGTTTGTTAACTTAATTATACAAGATTCAGATTCGAATATTGTTTAAAGTTTCGAAATCTGATGTATACATTAATCTATAAACCATGTATTAATACATGTTACTTCCAGAATTACTAGCTTTTTTCTTAACAATTTTCGTTGGAACTTTATTGTAAGAAAGTTAACTCTAACGCAACTCATAGCAATTAGCAATTGTTTACCTTGGCATACCGAAAAATATATAAAAATGTACATGACATATGAATACAACTGAATGGAAATTGTTACCATTTTAGATTCTATATGTATAATAAACAAAGCTACTTCATATATGATCGCACAAATTTATAGGTAAACATATATTGTAAAGTAACTGTTCTGCACCAGTTCTTTAATTTCTTATACCCGTTATACTGTATTTCAATCATTAGTCAATAATGTTCAGACTAACTTTGTAACTGTTGCCCTCTGTACAGTGATATCACAATCTTTCAACCATTCATTTTTCATAAACGAAAGATTAATTACATTATAAACTACCAAGTTTATATACAATCATATAAAATGAGTTGACTGCTTAGTTTTAGCAAGGTTTATGATTATTCCACAACAGGAATGTGATTTTATTTTCTTCTCACGATTTGATTATAATATCTCCATTTAATAATAACATTTTAATAGTTTTATATCCAGTACCCTGTGAAATACACATGAAAAACAAAAGCTAGCCTGTACTGTATCTATACACGCGTCGATGAAAAGTCCTTCTTAATTTTTGGACGACGATTCCTTCTACAGTGCATCTGACGATATCGCCGATTACACATTTCAACATTTAATAATAACATTTTAATAGTTTTATATCCAGTACCCTGTGAAATACACATGAAAAACAAAAGCTAGCCTGTACTGTATCTATACACGCGTCGATGAAAAGTCCTTCTTAGTTTTTGGACGACGATTCCTTCTACAGTGCATCTGACGATATCGCCGATTACACATTTCAACATTGATTCCTACCGTGAGATCCCTTCGCTGCCCATTGTGATTCTGCATGACTGCCGAGCTGTAGGCAGTGTCTCCAGAATCAATGGGGTTGCTACACGACTGCGAAGCTGCCACACAGCTGCGAAAGTCTTTCTTTCTGTATACAATTTCAATGAAACCCTTACGAACACGAACGTTGAAATAACCATAGAAAATTGGATTAAGAGCACTGTTTAATAAAGCAAATGTCTCTGCCCCCACAATCATAACCTTGGGCACCTTGATGTTGTAATTGCTAAATATACGAATGTTGTGAACGATAAAGTAGGGGGTCCAGCAAATCACGAAACTAGCGATAATACATATTGTGAGTTTCAGGGTTTTAATTTTGGCACGTGGGATCACAGCTGCGGCACTGACGGAGCGACGAAGGTAGACGCCGTCGTTCTTGTTGCTGTGGTTTTCACGTCCAGCAGCACAGAGAGCTCGCAGAACGTTGACATAGCAGTAACTAATGCAAACTGTAGGAATCATTAAAATATAGATAGTGAGCCAACTGAAATAAACCTTTCTCTGCCACATTGCTGTGTACCCTTGACTGACGCATTCGTACCGTATTCGACCTGTCGTGGTAATTCCATTTTCTTTCTGAAAAATTGCAATATTTCTTTTTAGAATAACTGCATTTAACCAGTATTATTAATGAACGGCAAAATTCTCTGTAAACTAACAGTTAAAGATTGTACAATATTTGAAACAATTTCGTTGAAAAGCAACGAAAAGAAATGAAGAGTTATAATAAAATTTAGATTTAAAAAATCAAACAATATATATAACAAATGTATTTAAGATTAGCATGAAAAACTCCAATATAAAATGAGACACAACCTTTCGTTAACTCAGTAATTTACTTATGAACATCATACCGTGTATTACCCATTTTATCTGATTGAGAGGTGAACAAAGGTTATTTACAGCTTACACTTCATATTTTCCACGCAATATATGCTAAAGATTAAGGTACTTCATCGAAATATAGAGAGTACTATGTAAGGCTAACTTATCAGTTATTAAATTCAAAAAAGCCCAACAAAATATTTAATTTAAAATATCTACTCTCCTTTAACTAGACATTGTTTCTTGAGTTTAAAGACAACTAATTTGAATATCTTGCCCTGACTATTGAATACAACCAAAACAACATACACATTCAATTTTAGGAAACAGACTATATTAGCATTATGCATGGGATATGTGTGGCCTAACGATTTGAGTTCCAAGCTATGAATCTTAAGGTCCAAGGTTCGAGTAGCTATATGCTTCTGAACGCATTTTGCACTTTTAGTTGTTTGGTAGTTATAACTTTGATTCAATCGTACTATTTGGTTAAGAGTGGCCGTGTAGGTGGCCAGTGCTTTTGACTGGTCGCTTTCTTCTGTCCAGTAGCTCAAACTATAGAGAGCCATACTTGAGCCTTGAGGCTTTTGATCTGGTCGGTTAGTCCATGGATCGTATAAAGTCCAGTTTGTTTGCTGAATACCCAAATCAAGTATTATGCATAAAACACAGTGGTTAATACAAATGAAGACACAGTCAGTATTTGTTTAAAAGTGAATTTGGAGTTCTTTCCGTGTTCAACAGTCTATACAACCAAAACACTCGTTGTGTCTTCCTATCTTCACGTTACTTTTACTGAGACCTGTCCCAGAACAAATAAATAGTAAAGCTCAATATAATGATAATACTTCTTAAACCTTGAAATTGTCGTCATTCTATAAAAACAAGATATTAACATGACTTACAAGTCGTCCAATTATTTTCAAGTGTATTTTCTTAATCTCGGTAGGAAATTATTATATTTAGAAAATAAACAATATTGATTTACTTAACAAGGCCATATTTTATATTTTTTATCAAAGTTACAAGTAAATTTAAACAAGATGTGATTGTTTGTTTGAGTTAGAAGTTTCGTGCAAAGCTGCGTATACAAGGACTGTCTGCGCAGAGCTATGCCTAATTTTGTTCTGATAGACTAGTGGAAAAGCACTTAATAAACATTGCCCACCGCTAGCTATTTGGCTACTCTAATCTGACCAATAATGAGTGAGATTTGAATGTTTCTCTTATAGCTATAAGATATACGCGACTGCTTCATTTATATTTAATAGGAGAGTTATGATTTAGATAGTTATAAAGCACGAGTGTTTTTAACAGCAATAATTTATCGCAGGTTTGTTTACGTAACTGTGTACAAATCATATGTTGTGTAGTTCACTAGTCGGTGACTGTCAAATTGTTGCGTCATATTACTAGAACCTTCTAAGTTTTTATCATTATTTCATTGAGTATTGTTACATAACGTCTCGTAGTTTGTAGAACGTGCTAGGTCTAAGTTGGGGATCTATATATAGATATACAGACGAACAAGTTATATAGTAAATTAAGTTAGTGAAAATAAGAGTGAAAATTTAAAGTTAGACTGCATGTGAATTTAGCTGTAATGGGTGATTTCTAAAGTGAGTTTCACAGCTTGTATTGTAAGAACAGAGATAGAGGAGAATAATTTGTCCAGTCATGTAACAGGATGTTCTAAAGTAATTGAACCCGCCCGTGTGGGCTTTGACACAAAAAAGACATTTATTCAAAGATTTGGATACAGCTGTAATAAGAAATAGTGTAACGCATATACATACATTTGACTTTTTCGAATATATTATTTTAAAACAAGTAGATTGTGTGCTGTCCGTTTATTGTTAAAATCTATCGCCAACAGATCACAGACACATACTGTAAAGGATTGCAGCCCTACAAAACCTGACAATATCGTACCCACAGGCTTTACAAAAACGATCCTCAAACCATAAATCCTCATATTCACAATCCAAGAATGTTAACCATTGGACCACGCCCAACCAACAAAAAATAGTTGTATGGTGTCCATTATTTCAATAATACGAATGGTGTCCACACTTTTGCATAGACAATAGAAGCTTGATATAACGACTTTGAGTATTTATACCAGGCTTCATGTGATTAAGTATTGTAACAATATCAAACTCAGTTAGTTAAATTAATTGCAGCTTAAAACATGAAGGCCATCGGTTTCTTTTATTTATATATATTTTTTTGTTTATGTTCAATGAGAGTTTCTCTTTACTTATTCCTTATTCTCTTTTTCTGTATTCTTTAAGCCTTTTTGAATTTATCAAAGACGCCATAATTATGATCTCGCCGTTTTTATATAAAATTCAAAATATTATGAAAAACCTTCAGCTGATTCCACACTTAAGTCTATATATCAACTGTTGTATTAAGTAGCTATACACTCTACGACACGGCTTATAAGAGACTCGAGTGCTCTGTGCTGGTTGCTATTTCTAAGAACTTATGGATAAAAATAATAATAATGTATCAGCCACACTATATCTTCTATATCCAACGTCAGGAGATCTTTCGTTTAATACCATCTGAACTTTCTGATAAAATGTGATCTGCGCACACAAAAAAAATTGTTCGAAAACAAAGGAAAGATACCAAGCAAAATGCTTAAAATAATTTTGTCTCTTAATGATGTATGTTTTCAGTAGTTACTGAAGAACAAAGATGTTCTGTCATTATTATTATTTCAACAGTAAACTTATGTATCTTTTCCGATCTTCTTCATCCTTACAATTATTGTTTATTTCTTCATAGTTGATCTTTGCCTCTTTTTTCTGTGTGTGTTTCTACACTGACACTAAGATTAGACTTTACAAACAACTGTAACAAAAAATTTCGCTTCAATTACAGTCTTGTGTTTTTACTGCTGAGTGACTCCTGCTGCTGGACATAGTATTGGTTTTGTTTTACAGAAGTGTCAGCAAGACCTATTTTCAGTTAAGTGTTTTTTTCTACAACATTACACAGCATGAGTAATTAGGTGAAGCATTTCTCAGTGGATATGTTTGCGTTGTTGGAATATCCTGAAATCCGTTGTAAAGCCAATAGATTCAACTTAGATTTTGAAAGTTTTTTCACGAATGTTTTAAATTGGTTAAGTAATTATAAAAAAAGTGAAATTGAACGTTTCTATGATTGATTGAAACGTCATATTTAAAAAAACAAAGAGAAATAAGTCACGATTAATTAATTATCAAGCGAAAATACAAGACTACATGTTTAAATCTGTCTTTTTATTATTATTTATACAGCATTGGTCTATAAATAAAGGTTTAAAGAACAACCTGACGATTTAGGTGATATTATAGCTACGACAATATCATTAAACGTAAGCTTAGGACAATTCCCAAAGTAAATCTTTCTCAATAAAGTAACGTACGATTGTTTAGTAGCAAAATAAAGCAGTTCAGCATCAAAATTTCTCTGTAACTTTTTACATTGATAAAATTATTAAGTTATTTATAATTCCTAGTTTTGCCTGTATGTTCGTCACAGCATTCTATTATACAAAATATGCAGAAAGTGAGAAACAGCACTTTAGTAATTTTCAGTAAGTTGAAACAAAAAGTAAATATTTTATATCTATTTAATATTTTATTGGCCTACATCACACATTATTCTTGCATGTTATAGTACCGAAGATTTTAGTGATTTTAAATATGAATCAGAATAGCATGTTCATTGCTTTGTTGCTAGCATGAAATATATATGTGTAATAATGAATAATGCTATAAAAACTTTTCTCCATATAACACGATTTATATTGCTCGACGAATGGCTTCTGCTCGAAACGTTGCAAGTAATGTAAATGTTTTTGTTATGAACGTGTGTTTAAACATTTTTGGACATTTTGTCATTATTTTTCTACGTCTACGCTACGGGAGAGAAAAGACGTTGGTAAGATAAGCTGTTATACTGTTATAGAATTTTGAATATTATTTAATATTAATTTGATTTGTGTCGAATAACAAAAAATAACTAGATTTAGTAAGGTTGGTAAACAAGAATAGTAGAGTTAAAGTTTTAAATTAGAGCTTAGTGGTGTAATTTGTACCACAACGTTAGATTAGGCTAAGACATGTAACGGTACTTTTAGGTTTACCTGTAAATCATCTTACTGGTAAATCGTAAAACAAATTAACTACATTGTTTTATTAAGCAAATGCAATCTAAAGACTAGCTAAGGATTACCTTGGTTACTTGAATTTAATCTAGATCCATTAGTTTAAATTCAGTTTATAGGTAGGTTATAAATCAAGCTAAATATTAGGTCGTCAAAAAATTAATGTCGCGTTTTGGAACACTTTCATTAACCACCTCCCAAAAAAACATACATCACGTATAATAGCTAAACGAACCACCTAAACGTCATGTTAGTGTAGCCTATATAATGTGTAAAGTTTAGTATACTCTAATCCCTTATAGTGATGGCACACGACGAGACACACATTCGGCATGTAATGCTGTTTGAGTACAAGAAGGAAAATAACGCCTCTGTAGCCACAAAGAATATTAAAGAAGTTTATGGAAATGTTTTGAACGTTCGTAAGTGTCAACGATGGTTCAGCAAATTTCGTTCAGGTGACTTTAGCCTTAAAACTGTGATAGCAGGGGCCGACATGTTGGAATTGACGCTTGTTGAGTCTAACCCAAGGCAACATACTCGTGAAATGGCCCTGAAATTGCATGTCTTTCATGAAACAATACAT